CATTCTGGAAGACGGATGATAACTGCACAAAGAAATAAGAACAGGTGAAAATATTCTTAGGCAACTTTTAAAATATTGTTTCAAATCAGTCCTGAGAAGGGGGGAGGGTACAGCTCAGTGGTAGAGTCATACTTAGCATGCATGAGGTCCTGGGTTCAATTCCCAGTACCTCCATTAAAATATGTAAATAAATAAACCGAATTACTCCCTCCCTACCCCCCACAAAAAAAAGTTGGTCCTCAGTATAAATCCAGACTCTGGAACCAGATAGATGTGAACTCAAAGTCTACCTCTATCTCTTGCTGTGACGTTGGGGAGGTCGTTTTGTCTTTCTGACTTATCCGTTTCCCCATCTATAAAATGATGATAATAAAAAACTAATGCATAGAGTTGTGAGGATTAAATAAATTCTCTGGAAAGTATTTTACAGAGATCCTGGCACATAGTCAGTTTCTCTAGATTCTAGATGATGAATCAACATCATCATCGTCATCGTCATCCCCACTGTCATTGTCATAATAATTTGTACCAGACACTGTGGGTGTCAAAAGATGAACAACACACACACCCTGCATTCGGGTAATCTGGGAGGCAAGAATCCAGATTCAGCCATAGAACCGTCAAGAGTTAGGCAATGAATTAGGCAGAAACAAAAGAATTCCTCTGGTAACCAGGGTTGGGGACAGCTAGGCCCCCTGTCTCTACTTTTCTCCCACACATTTTATAACCATTCTCCCCTTTTCCAAGAGGGAAAGAGATATTCTGAATGATTGCTGCTCTTCTTCCACATACAGCCACTGTTCCCAAGAGAATCAAATGGGCCTTTTCTTTCTCCAGTGGAGTGAAAAATATAGGACATGTCTATCTGGGTGGCATTTACCAGTGTGTGCCACATATCAGCAAACACGCACAGATACTCCGGTAAATGATCGCACCAAGCCCTGTCTCCATTCCTTCATCCTCTCGAAATCATACCCACTTAATGCGTTTAGTGTTCTGCAATTGACTATTAACGGCTGTATCTAGCTGTGAAATCCAGATAAACATCAACTGCCCGGGTCCCCACACCCACACACATACCCTCACCCTTAAGAACATTTCCTCTGATGATCACACAAACTCGCACTCGGGTGCATCTTCCCACAGCCTTGCTCACACGCTAGCTTTTTATTTGAGCTCTCCCATGGGGAAGCCTGTAACCCTCAGATAGGAATTTCATTAACAAAGGAAGGGGAGGGGCCATCAAGAGGAAAGTCCAGATGCAGAGGGAAAGAAATTAAAATAGCTTTTCAAGGGGACCTAAAATTGTATCATCCTAGCCTCATCCTCCCTTATAACTGTATTTGTACATTCTGTGCCTGGGTGGGGGAACAAAAAACCCCACAAGTTTTCATTGATTGGGCGGTTGTCCAGGCTCTTAGTTTGGCATCCAGCCCACAGAGCTGCAAAATCAACCTCAGCAAGTCTCTGCTTTGAAACACAGTGGCATCTAACTGGAAGCTTATGCAAAATAAGGAGCTCAGCGCAGGGGTCCAGGGTCCTGCGCTTCTTCCTTCTTCTCTCAGCCGCACCCCTCTTATCCGATCTTGGTGAAGAGTCTTCCTTGGCTCAAAAAGAGATCAGGGACAAGAAAGTAGTGCCAAGAAAGTTCCACGAGACTCTCAGAAGTCACTGCCTGAACACCAAACCTGAATAACCGGGAGAGATGGAACTCTTAGGTGTTCTCCTGCCCACGCTGCAGGTTTTTCAGGTCCCTGCTTGAGTATGCACTCACAGGCGTAAATAAACGTGCTCTCCACCGCCTGCGTCAGCCAACCCAGCTATTTAAGCAGGCTGGCAACACCCGACTCAGCTTCCAAATCCAAGGCTTGCCTTTGCCGCTTTCACGTAAGTAACTTTCAGAGGTTTGCTTTTCGTGCAGAGGAATGAACTTGTGTGGAAACTGGGCTGAAATGCTCTAGTTACCATGTTTGCTAGCCTGATGGGAAGAGGTAGACATGAACAGGAGAATGAAAGTTAAGAGCTGGCCCCAAGCAGGGAGCCTGAGAATGCTGTGGGGTATAAGACACCAAATGCTTGCAGATGTGCAAGGGGTCAAGGTGCATTTGGAGCAGGGGGCAGTTGGGTTGGTCTTTTGGTGGGCAGATGAGATGTTTTTCTTGCTCACTTCTATCTCCGAAAGACACAGCGAAATCAGCACTTGTATGACTGTGCCAGATGCATGTGAATTCTGTCACTTAGAAGGTGATAATTGTTAGTCTACATCTTACTTGAAAGTCAGACATAATATCACTTTAAAATATTTTTTGATCCAACGGGAGTCAAACCTCCCAAAAGGGGGGGTGTCTGTGGATTGAGTAGCGGTGTTTCCATGCTGACTTTGCAGTGCTATTTTCTGTTATTTCATAATGCTTATCAGTTAGAACAATGAAAACATTGATCTCGTTTAAGATGAAAAGGAATCTCGTGCTCTGGGGTTTTGAGGAAATGTAAGTTTGTGATATGTGAGCACCAGGTATCCAGGTAAACTGTTAAGTAAAGTGGAATCAGAATCGTTAAATTAAAAGGCACAACATACCACATAGCTTAGGTGAGAAAGTCTTAAAGAGAAGAGGAATGCAGAAAGAACCCACAAGGGAGCACAGTCACAGACAGGGCCCTGGAGTGGGTTTGGGTAAATATGGTTTAATATAACCCGAGCCCAAAACAAAGGGACCTGGGACTGGGGAAGGGAGGAGCTGGGGAAGCAGATAGTAGAGGATTATAATTAGATATCATATTTATAAAATGCATGTAGGAATATTATAAGGAATAAAGCATGGCATTGATTCCATAGTTCCTCCCTTTGGGTCAAGAATCTGGCAATTAAGAATCTGGGGAAAGCCAAGAGCTTTTCCCAGGTGGTCCCCCGACCCCTGGCCCCCAACACATATCTTGATGGTCATTTTCTGGACCCCTAGAAATCCATGACTCTAAATGAAGACTCCTGGTTTAAACAAATGCATTATTTTTCAACTGAGCTGAACCTGCTGACTAGGAACCTACAGAGAAGTGGCAGGGTTGGGGGTGGTCGAAACCATTAATATGGCAGGCACTTCTTGGCCACCAAACTGGAGCTCAGTTGTAGGGTCATGAAGGTTTGATTTCCACCAAGCAGGTTGAAGGGGCTTCTCTGATCAAAGATAAGTTGCGGGCCGGGAAGAAGAGAATAGAAGTAAAAGGTAGCTCCTGTTCTTAAAGAGTTTGAAATCTGAAGGACAAGGACATAAATAATGAGAAGTCAGGCAAGAAACAGTACACACCATATGGTATGAAATGATAGGACATGCAAACGAATCTACAGTGACAGAAAGCAGTCACTGGTTACCTGGGAAAGAGGGCAGGAGAAGGGGGTGGGGGGATTAGGAGGGTTTGAGAGTGATGGGTATGTTCGTGACTGGGTAACCATTTCTCATGTGTGACAATTTATCAGATTATACACTTTAAACACGTGCAGTATTGGATGCCAATTAGACCCCAACAAGCAAGACTGTAACAATCTTGTTTATAATAAAAAGCATTTCTAAGAATCAGCCGATGCAACATACTGAAAATGAAAATTGAGTACTTTTGGAAAAAAAAATTCAATAAATAAAGTGGAAGACCAGCCCCTCAGGACTGTGGACTTCCATAGAATTGGGAGGGTCCAAGAGATCATCTAAGTCAGTGGTTGCACACCTGGAGAACTGTTCTTGAAAATACCCTAGGCTGAGCCTCACCTCAACCGATTAAATCAGAATCCCTGGGTGGGTGGCCCTATGCTGTTTTTTAAAGCTCCTCAGGTATTCTAAGGTGCCGCAGCCAGGGATGAGAACCAGTGAAACCCAAACCCCTCACTTGACACCTGAGGATAAGGAGGCTCAGAGAGAGGGCAGGGTCTGCCCTTGACCACATGACCCCCAAGCACTGTGTTCCAGCGCCCAGGGAGGACAGCAACAGGACGTCAGGGGACAAGGGACCTCCAAGACCATTGCTTCTGGGTCCTCAACACCACACTTCCAACTCCAGCTGGGATAGGGTATCTGGCACATTTCAAGCAAATTCTTGGAACCCAGACATGCTCCGGGCAGCAAGCAGGAGGAATTAGTCAGAGCCTCAAAGGTGCATTATTTAAGGATTGTGCTAACGTGTGAGAAGGGATGTTTCAAAACTATAGCTTCCTTTTGTTCCCCACATAATATCTGGCCTAAGCCAGAGGATTATAATTATTGAAAAGAGTCGCAGCCGACGCAGGCGCTCTGCTCTTGGGGGACAGCCAAGTCGTGCTTTCAGGAGCTACCCCGAGTTCTCTGCATTGGGATGAGTCTGCTTGGCACCACAAGGTCTCTTCATTGTGATTTCCAGGTCAGCCCCGGGCAGCAGTGTGAGTGGAGTGAAGTTTGTCTTTGTGGCTTCTGCTCCTCCTGTCTGTCCCTCACCGTGACACCTGTGCCCGTGCAGGGGTGGGTGTAGGGCTGGCCACGGGGCTGCCGCACCTCACCTGTGCTGCCTGGGCCAGCTGGCCACGTTTCAGGTGGTTTCCCATCTCTCGTCCAAGCCCAACGATTTCCAGGGTCCCATCCCCTTAGGGCTTTGCTTACCCAGCTCTGGAACACTAATTAAAGTTACCATGTTAACAGGCAATAATTGTTTAATGAGTTATGTCCCTCCCTGGTATATTAAATAGGATCCAACAAGATCACATCTCTGGGAATTCTTTAAAATGTTATATAAATGTAATTACCACTTGAGGTAATCAGGGGAATCAAAGCTTTTAGCAAAATGTATATTCCCTACGATCAGAATTTCAAGCAACTTGCTGGGGGAAAATATACCAAGATTGGGAGTTTTCAGTAGAAGCCTCCAAGTCACATCCCATAGGAAGCTCCCCACAGACTGTGGGCCCTGAGAGATGTCTTTTATTGAATCAGTCTACTTTTTGTTAAATGTATTTGTCTTCATTAGAGATGGCTGCATTTCATTTATCTTTCTGAAAAATGGAGAGTCACCTTAAGGTCATTACAGTAGAGATAAAAAGTCCATACATTCTGCTCACAGGGCCTTATAAATATTACCTGCTTCCTTCACCAGAACAGAAGGCTGGTACTGTCACAGCCTTGGTGACAAAGGGTCTCCTTCCTGGGGACCCAGTCCTGCAGCCCGGGGCAAGAGGCCCCTAAGTTCCCAAGATCCTCACAGCCCTATCTTCCATTTGGAAAGCTGAGATCACTGCAGCTCATGTTGGCAAGTGGCAGCTGCACTTGGTTGGTCCAGCCTCTGCAGAGGGGTGTGGTCAGGGGTGAACTCAGCCTCCCTCTAGGGATGCAGCGTCTGCAGGCTGCAGGGAGCCAACAGTACAGAATCTTCACTGGTGAGAACAGCAGCGAGGACAGAAGAGGAGGGTGAGTGGTGTCCTGAGCCCCAGGGGACCAGGAGACAGGGGACCCAAGTTCCCAAGATCTGGGGGGAAGGATTAGGCTGTTGGCATCAGGGCAGCACCCAACACTGAAAATGCTGCTGTTTGGAGGCTTAATGTTTCTTCTTCTGGCCACTGAGAGTTCCACAAAAGAGAATAAAATTTTTTTGATAAGTGATAGGTTCGCACAGCTCATGAAATAGGTTTGTTTTAGAGTGACAGAGTTTCTGCCTTCTTTGGGTGACTTTTCTTTGAACATTTCCCCCTCATCTTTGCTTCCAAATTCTCTCAGTGTGGAATGGCTTAGTTCACTTGGACATTTTTAAGGCTATGTCATGACCTAACCCAGATTAATTTTTAGAAGTTGATGGCTTCCTCCCACTTTAAAAAAGCCAGGTGAATGGGAATGGTGAACAGGGCTATGCGATGATGAAATTATTGGCAGAAGGGTGGCCTGTGGCCTGGAGTGATTTATGAAGTACCAGCCTGCCCATTAAAAACCAACACCTGAGGATCCCAAGGCAGCCCTTGAACCACACACCAGCCTTGGGCCAGCGGAGAACACGTCTGAGGCTGCAAATAAAAGACACTGTCCTGACACAGGGGGTGCATGCATCTGCTCTCTTGCTGGCTCCTGCCCTTCAATGACCTTGATGTGGATTTGGAGTTCCAGTGTTGTTAATTCTGAACACAGGTAGGGTTTGGGGTGTGTAAGAACCTGACCAAGCAGATGCAGGTCAGGCTGTCCTTGTTTCTTTGGCTGGGAAAGTGCCTTCATTGATCTTTAGGTGATACGGTGAACACTCTTCCGCAGAACTCCAGTGTAGACTGGTCCTGACAGAAGACAGCCTAGCCCAGGGAGCAGAGTACAAGTCTTGCTGGTCAGGAACCCTGGTTATTTTCAGCTCTAATTCAGCTGTAATGGAATTCTAAAGCAAGCGGGAAAAGCCGGAATATCAGGTGTCCCATTGGATTATTAATAGTGTCCCCTTTCATTCTCAAACATACCTGGCCTTGAGCAATAAACTATATAGTCACCTATTAACACAGTATATGAAGGTACAAGAGAATAAAGTGAGCTGCTCTGTGTCTTAAAATTAGTTGGTGCTGAGCTGACTCTGGAACCCAGGCCTCCCCACGCCTTCCCTCTGGCCTCTCTGCCAAGTTACTCACTCCCCCTGTGACTCAGGTTCCCTGTGGGAAGCACTGTATCCATCCTGCCCAGACGGAGAGCTGGTGTGTTTATATTGGCTCACCAAAAAGAAGTTCAATGTGCATGCTGAGGGTTCAAGGAATTGTTCATCACAAGGTCAGGTTACTCTGGCATTTGCTTCAGGCTCTTGTTAGCTTACGGCCCTGTTTGAGTAGTGATGGAAGCTCTTTTGAAAGGAGAGAAGTTAATTTTTACCCATCCTCATGTAATTTCTTGTAATTTACTTTCAATGGTTTTGATAAAATGTGACCAAACATGAAAATCTTGTCAGATCTTTCCCAAATGAACTGTTTCTATCTTTACATGTTAAAGGAAAAACCAAAACAAAATCATAAACATCGTAAGGCATTGATGAGCTCTAATCTCTTAGTGTACACGGAGCAGGAAATGAACGGTACTCATTCCAGCCATTAGATCTGGATGGATCACGATGGAAGTTTCCTGTAATTCTTACGGGCATGACATAGTCTAGTCTTTGTTGCTGTATTTCCATTTCCTTCCTGTGTGGTTTCTCCCTGAGGAAATTTACATAAATAATCCTCTCTCCCTAGGGCTTATAGTCCCTCCCTCCTTTCCAAACTTCTAGTCTACTGGTCCAGGCGCGAAATCTGTTTCATAAAAAACTTTAATTCAATAATTTATGCCGAGAAATGTCTATCACTCTGTTATATATTCTTTACACTCTTTGTGGATAGTAAAATAGCGTCCTTTGGAGATGACTAGAACTAAGGTTTACAGAGCAGGAGTGAAGAAAGGGGGAGGCCATGACTCTCCCGCTTTCATTAGCATGGTACCCGATTCAGGGTTCCACAATTTAAAAGGGGGCAGAGTCCTTTGAACTAGCTCAAAAGAGCTCCTAGATGACTAAATAATAAAAAAGATCAAGTCAGTAAAGAGTGGCAAAAGGACCAGATGTTATTTAAATTGGATAAGAGAAGGCCAGAAAGCCATTTGATGCTGGTGTTGAAAAGCATGGAGCATGGTTAGGGAGGTCAATGACCGGCTAGTCACCTTGATCTTTGGGGGAAAAAAACCAAGCCCAAGGACCCCAAGGATTGGAATCGGCTGGAGCATGAAGGGGATGAGGTGAGGCATGAAGTATTCCCTCATTATGCAAAAAATACATTAGACAGAATTACACAGGCAAGCTCTGAAAGGCAGGGCAGTCCAACAATCTTTTAATTTTTAAAGTTTTTTTTCTTTAGGCTCACGTTAACATATTCCTGAATTCGTGGTACACACGAGACCCTTCCTACGTTTTACATCTCATTCTATTTCTTCTACTCTCCCACTCTCCGTCTTTCTTGCTCTGTCTTTGAACTCAACACCATATTTTTATGATCTGCCTATGTGACTGATTATACTTCTAATATTTCCAATGCATTACTTCTAACTCCTTTTAATTTATTTTATTTTACTTCTTTTTTAAAAATATATTTATTGATTTATATTCTAACTCCTTTTTAATAGTCTGCTATTTATATACACTATTAGCTTATCTAATCCTCTAGTTTTTTTTTTTTTTGTTTTTTTGTTTTTTTTTTTGGAGGGGGATAGGTAATGAAGTTTATTTTTTAATGGAGGTATTGGGGATTTTACCCATAATCCTGTAATGTTGACCATTTCTTCTGCCTCCAGTTCTCACAAATGATGCCATAATGAATATCCTAATATGTATGTATACTCAACCACCCTGTAGATCTCGTTGGTGGGAGACAGGGGTAGGGAGAGGGGTAGGCTAGATGGCTTATGTTTTCTTTAAGCAATGTGGAATATTAAATCGTCTGTAAGAAATGGAGACACATGATATCACAAGTTCTAGTCTAGTATTTCAAACATTTAGAAGCTTCTCTGAGTTCCTTAGGACTTTACTAAGCCTTTAATAAGTAACTGAAATAATTTTCTGGAACTTAAAGAGTATAATTTTCAGCAATTTTCCCCTCTCAATATCATTTTCTTAAACTTGGGCTAGTCAGTTCTAGAAGTACTTCATTTCTCTGTATTAGTGGACAAAGCAAATGAAATGTTTTAAGAAATCTTGTTAGGCATAAGGTTGAGTGAAGTTTCTACAATGTTTGGCTGCTTTAATGATTGCAAAACCTGATATCATTCAGTTGCTCAACATTATACCCTGAATCACCGGGAAAGCTGGATTAGAACCTTAATAATGGTATCTTGTATCTCTATAGTGTTTATAATTTATAGTGCTATTCATAAACTTAATCCATCTCATTGAATCCTACAACAGCCGTGTGAGACAGGCGGAGTAGGACTGTAGCTTCAATTGTAGATGAAGAAACAAAGGTTCAAAGCAATTAAGTGAGTTGTCCAAAGTCACTTGGAGATTTAAGTGGTTCTGGTGGAAGGAGAGTGCAGATCTTCTGAGCCTCCCCATCCAGCCTCTTTCTGCAGTATGACGTCTGATGCTCAGAGGAATGATCTACTGTAGGTTCAGAGCTAGCTTTCTGGTGTATCTGTCATTTTCAGTTATTTCATGATGGCAATGAGTAGGCTAGAGCTGCACGTCCTCTGTTTATCCCATTAGCTGAACACCTGTTCATAAAAACCACTCAGCTGGGGAGGGGAGGAAATAAGGCCCATGTAACTGAGTATCATGGCAACAAGCAGCATGCATGGTTGGACTTTGACAGGATTTGGAGCTCTACAAAGAACCAGGTGTGTGTCATTTTATCCACTACTGAAAGTACAGTCATAAAATCAGAATGGTAGTTGGACCATAAAAAATAATGATTGATTCAAGTATATTTGTGCAAAGAGATAATTCCATTCTATCAAAGAGTCTTTTTGGAAACACACAAACAACCTGAGGAAGTTATGCGTTTTAGTAGGCAGGTTTCAACGGACTGTGAACGGGCAGCCTAAACATCTATGGGTCACACATGTGCAACCCATGAAGGTCCCTAACTACCATTCCTTACTAGGCAGTTAGGGCTTAGGCAGCAACATCGTAGAACCCGGAATACATTTTTGAAAACAATAAATCATGATGACATGTTCTCAGAATTACAAATGAACAGCCCTTTTCAGACTCAAGCCCTGAGAATGAAAACATTTTCAGAAAGAAACTCTAATCTCTTAACATTCTAAAGTGACCAAATGGTTTATTGCTACTAGATTTTTAAAATACCAGACGGATTTCCATCAACAGCATTACCAACATTTAAGTTTCTGACCATTCCTCCTTTTCTTATTTTTTACTGACATATAGTTGATTTACAATGTTATATTAGTTTCAGGTATACAGCAAAGTGATTCAGTTATATATATATATGTATATACATTCTTTCTCATTACAGCTCATTAGAAGGTATTGAATATAGTTTCCTGTGCTATACAGTAGGACTTTGTTCTTTATTTATTTTATATATAGTAGTTTGTATCTGTTAATCCTAAACTCCTAATTTATCCCTCTCCCCTTTCCCTTTTGATAACCATAAGTTTGTTTTCCACATCTGTGACTCTGTTTTTGTTTTGTAAATAAGTTCATTTGTATAGCATTTCTCCTTTTCTATGCAAAAAACACACA